CCTACAGCCCGGCCCGGCATTCAGAAAGTCCTTCTTGGGGGATCAGTGGGTGGAGATCCCACAAGTTACAACTTGGGTTTTTACAGGCATACTTGCACCCCTTTCCCCCTTGGGTGCCTTGACATTAGTATGCTTGTCACCTATAGTACCTTTGGCAGGACTCTCATGCATTCAGTGTCTTTTGTCTCTGCTTAGGTATTCCAGTCTCCCACTCTTTACAGGTTCTACTTCATAATGTAAATTTAGTTCTCTACTTTCCTTGATCAAAACAGGCCAAGCAGTCTGGGAACCTCTCCTGTTCCCTTAGGTCTGTCTCCAGCGCACAAATGTATTCATTGTGCCAGATCTTTGCCAACGCCTCCCACCTCTGTGTGAGCCTGCAGGGTTGGCCCTATGCTCACAGGTGGCAGAGGACTAGTCCCTCCTGCCCTGGTTTCCCAGCCTCTTCCCCTTCCCCCATAGACTGGGGGGAGCGGAGGAGAATTACACTCCCCTTTATCAACTGCTTGCTTCAGTCTCTGCCAGAGGTGGGAGGAAGCGGAGTCTGCTGGTCTTCTGCCAGCTTCCTGCCAAGCAGATCTGGGTCCCATCCTGGTGGGAGATGGGGTTGAAACCCTGCCTCCCTCCCCTCTGCCTGATCTTGCCTGCCGACAGCCCCTGCCCCTTCGCTTCAGTGGGGAAAAGTCTGGCAGGGGCTGCCCCTTCTCCCCCAGGCAGAACTGGCTGCAGTCCCCAACCAGGTCTCCCACCCCCTTGTCAGCACTGACCTGGCTAAGGAGCAGAAGGATGGGGCTAATCCTGGAGCGCAGGCTAGCCCAGCCCAGCGCTGGAAAGGATGCTGGGGGACTGATTTAACTTGAGCCAGGAAGGGGTCTGGGTCAGAAATTTCATCACCTGGTTTGACTTAAATCGGTTAAGTCTAATGGTACATTCAACCAGATTTATCTTAAACCAGTTTCAGCGATTTTGAAACTGGTTTATGTGCATTGGACTTCTGTTCTGTTACAGGTTTGAATCAGTTTCTGATCACTTAAAACTGTTTGTGTAACTTCTGTCCCTAGCTAAAATGTTTTTGTCTGCAATGTTTACTCTGGTAAGAGTGAGATGCATGCCTCCCTTGCATTTTCCAGTCAAAGTAAGCTACAAAGCAGAAGTAATTATATGCCGATATAACTTCTTCATGGCTTTTACTGGTCTAGAAGTGTCGTAACAGAAAAAAACTGCATACCTCATTGACATTGCTATATTGGGAAAAGCTTCTAGTATTGATCTGGCTGGAGCTGCCAACAAAGACAAAACTGAGCTAGTAGATGAGCTTGGATGTTAACCTAGAAACTGCCTATTTAAGACTAGTCCACCATTAGGAGTCCTTTTCAAAATTAGAGTTTTTGTTTGCTCTAAGTATAATTTTGCCAGAGAAGATGAAGGTTCATTTTTTAACCTTTGAACTGATATTCTAAATGGTGGAAAGTAATTCCTCCTTCCATCCTTCAAGATACCCTCTCTAGCTAATTTGCTTTCATCGCAGAAAGAAAAGGACAGACCAACTGAGAGAGCACTATCTCCTCTGACATTTTCTGCCATTACTTGATAAGACAATGATAGTATACACTGATTTCCCAAGCATAAATCATTGCATGACATAATGTACCTTGCATAAATTGTTTGATGCAAGCAACAGTGCCAACAGTTCAGCTCTGCAGACCACACTGTTCTAAGTAATTGCTATTCGGAGGTTCTGTGACAAGAGCTAAACAAGTGTTGTGACTAAATGTGTGGGTGGTATTCTGTAGCATTGATGTCACTGTTGCTTGCGTGTCCATGATTCTGCATAGGTAAGGGAAACTTTGAAGTTATTGTAAGTAGCTATTTGTCATAAAGCTGCTTTTTCCCTCTTAATTGTTAGGCAGTAAGAATGGAGCTTATTTATCACATTGTCTGATTTCTGACATCCTTAATCCTAGTGAAGATGACCTTTGATTTCTATCACTCAAATGGTGGTTAATGCTAGTATTTGTCAGGCCTGGCTTTGAGAGAGACTACCACCCATCTTGCCAAAATAGAATCTCCTAAATTATTATAGCTTTGTTACGGCTTACATTGTCAAAGCCAGACATCCCCTTCCATTCAAACTAAATAAAAGTTGGGGGAGGGGAGAAGATAAACTTCTTTGCAGACTTGCCCTCCCCCACAAATATTGATTGTTTTTTATTTTAGGATTTTCCTGTGCACTTCTGGAAATCTTATAAATGTGCCTGCCACCTCCCCATTATTGCAGATGAAGCAAGAGATAGATGCCTTAGTTTTCTTCTTTTCTTTTCTATTTGGTGGGAGAGGGGGGGATAGAGAAGGCATGAATAAAAATTAGCCAGTTTTGATGTTTTGTATGTACTCGGACGTAGCTGTAATAAGCACATTTTTATAGATCAGGAGAGTGTGTAATGTTTTTGCCTGCTGTGAATTCTTCCATTTTTTTTCTAGGTACTCCAGAATTTATGGCCCCAGAAATGTATGAAGAACACTATGATGAATCAGTTGACGTATATGCTTTTGGAATGTGCATGTTGGAAATGGCTACCTCAGAATATCCCTATTCAGAATGTCAGAATGCTGCTCAGATTTACCGGAAAGTAACCTGTGTAAGTGAGCTTAATTTTCTTTTTTTTAGCATGAGTCCTTTATAGTGTAAAGCTTTTCTAAATGTTTAAGGAAATGCTTTAGGGCTTTAAGTTGGGCATGTCCATGTGGTGGGGTACGAGAGTAATGCAGAAATAATGTCTCCACCCTAATTTTTGGTATTTCAGATGGCTAGAATTTTAGTTGTAATTTTTTTTATATCTGTCATTTGGCTTCCTATGACTACGTGCAGATAATTTTAATAATATTTATTGTTCAGTGCCTTCATTATTGGGTTATTTTTTATTTTTGTTGGTCAAAGTAAATAAGAACTGGGAGGTCTGGGAATGAGTTTTTCATTCGGTTCTAACTGCAGTCAGACAAATTAGGCTTTCCACACAACTGCAAAATGTTTAGGTTTGCAACCTAGATGGTTATGTGCATTTTTAAACTGTAGGATATAGTGCATTTACTCGCATACAAACAACATGATGGGGGCTTGAAGCTGAAGCCAGTGTTAAGCTGCCAGCTTCCCTGAGCCAAGTGATTCATGCATTTGGGGGTGGGAGGGAAGTGGGGGGCTTGCTACTAAGGGATTGTGGAGGAAACCTACCTGTGCAGCTTGTCAGGTAGACCATGCAGCCTTTTCCCCCTCCCATATCCTTTTCCTCCAGCTCCAGCCCCTACCCAGCCAGACCCAGAGCTGCCACTGCTGCTTCTGCCTGGCTGGTCTGGGAAGGGTTGCCACCACTCTTTGCCTTGGAGCTGGAGCACAGCAGAGCAGCAGAAGATAAACTTTGGGGAGGGTGCAGATGGTGGGGGACAGGTGACAGGGGAGAGCATGGGTGTAGGGCCAGGCACAGGTATGGAGGAGCAAGGGGTGAGGGGGGGCAGGCAGCAGTTGCCAGGCAGGGGCATGGAAATAGGAGCATGAGCAGGGGCATGTGGTGGGAGGAGGGGCAGGTGGCAGGAAGGCCACAGGTACAGGGGGCAGGCACAGGTGGGGGCCAAGTGGGAGGGAGGAAGGCAGGGAAGGTAAGGGGCCAGGGGTATGGCCTCTTTCCATCTGCCACTGATTTCCCTACCACAGTTCTAAGAGGGATGAATTTAAGATGATATTCCACTAATTATAATTTTCCATGTATAGAATCTCATTATTGGGGGGAATCATCTTAAATTCAAAGTAATCTTGGATTCAGCTAAATACAGTAATCTGAATCAAACTTTGGGGACAATAGCTTCCTTTCTTGAAGACAAGAGGGGAGAGAGGATGAAGTTTTATTATTTTGCATTGAGGCAGTGCTTGAAAAGTGTGGTACCTGCATTCCAGAACTCTTCAGTGTCTATTAAACCCTAAGTATAAACCAGAGAGATGGTTTGAAAGCATTGGTTCTTAACATTTTAAAACTTAAGCCACCTCTTAGAAAGTGCCAGCTCTTAATTAATACTCATTTTACTAAAGAAAAATAATAAAGGAGTTCTGTTGCAAAGGGCTCTGAAAGACCATAACAGGTGAAACAAGTTTTTAACACTATAGATTCCTATTTGCAATCTTTGGGTTTAGCTTGTAAATCATGTTAGCTCACCTAACAGAACAAACATTGTGTGGCATTGTACAGTGCCCTTTCAAGGATCTCAAATCACCCCAGGGTGCCACAGCACCTTGTTGAGAATCACCGATCTAAAAGAATAAAGCTTGACTGGAGGAAAAGGCAATCTGAAAGTGAGTCAGGAGGCAGGGCCCAAGTTCACTTCATCAGATGCTATGAAATCTGAAAGAGCCAGGGCTGAGCTGCGTGCCACTATATCTGAAGATCAGATGCAAAAATGTGCTTGTCTGAGTCAAGCCAGAAGCTCCCTAGGAAAGCTCTGAGGCTTTTGTGAGGGCCATGAGATCCTTTAATCAATGGAGAATCACTGTTGTCATGGAAACTGAAGTTAAGAGCTTTGACAATTTTGCTACTTTTATTCTGGAATGTTTAGTGAAACCATTAACATGACGCTTTTCTTCAGAGTGCAGCATCTCAGGTATGCTGTTGGTTTATCCTTTTCTGTCTAGCTGGGAAGGGTTATAAGTGACTAGAGCAGTTTGAGGTGGGCAACTCACTTGTTTACAAAGAAAAGGTGGTGCATGCCCCCCTTCAACATCTGGAGATGGTTGAAAGGAAGAAAGGAGTGGCCAGGCCTAGGAAGGAGGACTGAACTGAACAGCATTTGTTTGTCTTATTTGTTTGTTAAAGTCAAAGCCAAGCAAAGTAATAAGTACCTAACTTTATAGAGTGCAGAGACTGAATGGATTGGGGGTGGCAAGTACTTGCAATTTCCACAAGGTCCCAAGAGCCCAGATACTATCCCACTTTGCCATCTCCTTGTGCTTACAAAGCACAATCATCATAATGATGATTGGTCCAGTTGATAATGGCTTCAAAGTCTGGTCTTAGATGGGACGCCAGACCTCTTAGGACTGTTCCATCAATGTGATTGTCGCAAGCAACCAAGTTGAAGACCAAAATAATGAATCGGGTGCAATGTAACAGCCTTATTGTTCTGTTCTTCTTTATCCTACCAAGAGCAGAGACCTTTATCTGATACCAGCCTCCCCTTCCCCCCTATATTTGATTCACAAAAAGGTTCCTATATTATTGCATGTACACCAGTTAAAAAGCATCCTCCTAATGTCTAACCAGCAGTCAGGGAGCCAGATGCTTTTGCGGGGGGACTTGTTTGTGTGTTGCTGGATGTGTGAACAAACCTGAATTCCTTAGCTCAGCAGGTGCCAATGCTTTTTGGTGGCTGCCCAGAATGACCTAACTTGGATCCAAGGTGATTTGGCACTGGAACCTGGTCACTACTGCCACTTCTTCTCCCAACCATCTGGCCATAGCATGGCAAGAGGAACTCTGCCAGCAAGCCACAGCATGGTGTGGGCAAGGGCCCCACCTACCCACCTCCACTTGCCTTCCCAGGCAAACGCTGCTGAAGCTTTCTGGCTCCAGGCGAGGTCCAGTGGCTCTGGGCCAGATCTGGCCTGTGAGCTTTGGGTTGCTGACCCTGCTTCTGTGCAAGGTGACAGCACTAACTGAGCGGTGAAATATATAACGATACGTGGCAGGTATAATATGATACACCACAACCTGAAACAGGACTGCGAGTAGTAACCCATTTTGCAAAACACCATTCAGAACTTATCACAGCTGAACCTTTTCTAACCGGACTGGTCCTTATTCAAGGTAGCTCAGGAACTCCTGAAAGCAGGGGTGGGCAATTATTTCGGGCAGAGGGCTGCTTACCAAGTTATGGCAAACTGTCAAGGGCTGCATGAGTAGCACTGCCCCTTGACAGGTGCCCTGCCCCCTGACCACCATCTTGGGACCAGTGTTCTTATGTCTTGGGACCAATGTCTCAGGGTCGGTGCTGGCGGGGCCCAGAGCGGGGCACAGGCTAGCAGGGGCCTGTGGACCTGGGCTGGGCTGCGCTAGCAGGGAGAGGTGGGAGCTGGACCAGCTCCGTAGAGCTCCTGCCGGCCGGGACCCTGTACTCTTGCTGCCCTGCTCTGGGCCCTGCCAGTGCTGGCCTTGGGACACTGATGCAGGCCCCATGTTTCCGCTGGCTCCTGCACCCACTCACTCCCAGTGCCCCCCCCAGCCCCGCAGTATAGGTGGGGGGGCAGCGTGCAGCAGGGAATGAACTGGTGCTGTGCGTGGGGAAAAGCGGCCCCTCCCTCGCCCTGTGGCTGGCGCTCCCTGGTGCAGCCGCTCGCAGCCTGCGCGGGGCTGTCCTGAGCAGGCACAGGCAGAGCCAGGCAGGCTGCAAGTGGCTGCAGTGCAGGGTGCTGGCCACGGGGCAGGTGAGGGGCC